TAGTTATATAGTGTTTAAAAGTTGATAATTTTGCCAGTCAGTGGTGGTGCACACCTTTAATCCCAGCACTTGGGAGGCAGAGGCAGGCAAATCTCTGTGAGTTTGAAGCCAGCCTGGTCTACAAAGTGAGTTCCAGGACAGACAGGGGTGTTAAAAAACAAACAGTCAAAAAACAAAACAAAAAAACAAAATAGTTGATAATTTTGAGAGTTTTGATAAAAATCACAAAAAAGAACACTCTCATTATCCTACAATTAATGTTTACTTAAAACATACTTATAGGGCTGGAGAGATGACTTATCATTTAAGAGTACAAGCTGCTTCAGTGGAGGACCAAGGATTAATTCCCAGCACCCATGTGTTAGCTCACAACATCCATCCCAATGGATCCTATGCCCTCTTCTGGCCTCCATGGGCACACAAGTTGCCCACAGAGATAAATGTAAGCAAAACACTCATATATATATATAATATAACATATAAAGTAGAATACATAGAAATGTTGCCACATTTCCATACATCTATACATGATTGCACTAACCAGTTGGTATTCAGAGATAAAAGATCAGGTGATGTTATATCATAGAGAAGAAACCGACTATCATTTTAGGAAGATCGTGAAGCTACACGTCAAGTTTTTATAAGTCTAAGTAGTGACAACAGGTGTTCACTACATTATAGTTTATTACTTAATATTAATAACAGTATCTATAAAACACTACACAGATACATATTGTGGTGGTTTGAACAGGAATGGCCCCCACAGGCTCATATATGCTTAGTTACCAGGAAGTGGCAATATTTGAGAAGGATTAGAGGTGTAGCCTCGGGTGGCACTCAGGAGGCAGAGCCAGGCTGATCTCTGTGAATTCAAGGCCAGCCTGGTCTACAGAACAAGATCCAGGACAGACACCAAGAACTACACAAAGAAACCCTGTCTCGAAAAACCAAAAAAAAAAAAAAAAAAAAAAAAAGTGTAGCCTTGTTGAAGTGAGCTTGTTGGAGGAAGTGTGTCACTAGGGGTGGGCTTTAAAGTTGTAAAGCACACGCCAGGCTCAGTGTTGCTCTCTCTGCCTATCGATCAGTATGCAGCCCTTAGCTACTGCTCCAGTGCCTGCCTGCACGCTGCCCTGTTTCCCTCAATGATGATAATGGACTAAACCTCTGAAACTTCAAGCAAGTCCCTAACTAAATGCTTTCGTTTATAAGATTTCCCTTGGTCATGGTGTCTCTTCACAGCAATAGAACAGTGATGAAGAGACCAGGACACATATGTTTACATGTAAAACACATACATGTATATCAAAATATAATTTATAAATAGTTTGATGAATTCTTTGTTGCTGTTTTTCAGAATTACTAATGCTAGATAAAACAATTAATTGCGTTTTAACTTGCCCAGTACATTCAACTCACAGTCAATGGGCTGCATGTAGTTCAGGATAGCTATAAATGTAGCCTAACACAAAACTGTAAACTTACTAAAATGCTCTAAGACATTTTGTGATTTTTTTTTTTTTTTTTTTTTTTTTTTTTTTTTTTTTTTTTTTTTTTTTTTTTTTTTTTGTTAAAGCTGGATTGCTCAGTTCTCAAGAGAGACCTTGTCGATGACAGCATCGCGTTACAATGTCAAAGGTTGGACACACCTATTTTCTTTCCGTCTAGTCAGTGACCTAATAACTTTGCAGGGTACAGCTTAAACTCAAATGAATAAAATAAAATAGTATCATTTTTTAACAGAGCTCTTGAAGGTAACTATTGTTGCCTGAGTGATTACAGTTCCAAATGATGTTGCGCTTAAAACATCCACATTCTTGGAACAAATTTGGTCTTGTGGAGATAAAAGGATCACGGGTTTTCTTCTGTAATCCTTGACAATTACATTACACATCCCCCTAGTGAGCTGACATTTCAAGCAAACATAAATCACGCTCTACGAATAAATGGTGGAGTTACAACTCCGAGTGTACCAGTTACATGACGCAGGCTTCAACCTTAACATAAAATCATTTGTGAAATTCTCTGAATTTTACTGAAAGTAGCATCATGATTTAAATATGTTCAATATATGTATTATTTCTATTCACTGATAACACTCATTCCCTCACTGGAAAATAACTATCTAAATAATAAAGACAGTAATAATCTAATTTTGATTAGGCATTCCGTGACCCAAGTATATAGGCTAACATCACCTTGAGGTGTTAATAGTAGTTTAAAATATATACTGCCCCAAAGAGGCATTTGTATGTGTGCACATGTTCATGTGTACGCTTGTATGTGGAAGTGCATGAGTATGGAGGCAGGAGGTCAATGTCAGGTGTTTTCTTCAATCATTTCTCCATCATATTTGTTAAGGATTTATTTGTATTTTATCTGCATGTATCTGTACACACCATTTGCATTCCTCATGCCAACTGAGGCCAGAAGATGGCAGATCCCTGGAATTGGAGACAGTTTTAAGCAATTATATGGATTCTAGGAGTCAAACCCAGCTCCTCTGCAAGAGCAGAAAGCACCCTTAACTACTGAGCCATCTCTCTAGGCCCTCTCTACCTTATTTTTGAGACAGGGCCCTCTCTCTCTACCTTATTTTTGAGACAGGGTCTCTAACTAAGCCTAGAACTCACCAACTGTCTATTGCTTCCTGTCTCTGCTGCCCCATCGATGTGTAATGCTGCATCTGGGTTTTCATGGGAGTGGTGGGGATCTGAACTCAGGTGCTAATGATTCCCCATCACACATTTTACCAAATGAGCCATCTTCACATGCTCCAAAAGGCATTCTTATTACCTCTGTTACATCAGCCAATATAGACTGATAGGAGATCTGAACTCTGACTTCTATTAAATCTGAAGGGCATTTCTAATACTAGTGTGATTAGCCACCAGAGACAATGAGGGAGAAAAAGTTATTTCAAATGTCAGATACTAAAAAGCCACTCAAAGTAGCCTACAAAGCAAAAAACCCAACAGAAAATTAGGAAACTATCTGGGCAAATTCAGAGTTGAATGTTATAGCCATCACAGGGTGGTGAACTGCCCAAATCTGTTTCCTACTTAAATACTTATGAATCTGTAGCCTTGTTGTAACTTCTGTTATTTTCTGAAAAAAAGGTGAAAATCTAGTGCAGATATATTGAAATTGTGTAGTTGTGGTTATATGTGAAACAAAAAGAAATATAGAAACCATGTAAATATCTGTGATCATTTTGATAAGTATATACATAGTAGATATTTTCCATGATAATTTCATTAACACTAACCATATCCATATATTTTAGTGAATAAAAGGTTTCTACATTAGCACAATTCCTAGTATATTTTTAATTCCTTAAGTATATTCGATAGTCTTTCAGGTATCAATACTGAGAGGAATTAGAAAATTGATCAGACAGCTGTATCAGCACATACATATACAACCATGAGATGTGGCTTTAGTCAGTGAGCACAGAATATAATTCTCTAGTTTCTGATAACAGAAAGATGAAGTTAGTTCAAAATTAAAGTAAGCATACTTTTAAAAGCACTCGGAAACTTTAAGATACAGTTGACAGAATTTTTTCTAAGAGTTAAATTATGTTATCTTACTGAGTGTAAAGGTTCTGATCCTATTTGCTTTATTCCCCCTACTTAGAGGGTAAAGCATAGAAGCCTACCACTGGTCATGCATATGTTAACTATGGACTTGCAAATAAAAGAAATAATCAAAATAACAAAGCTATTCCACTCAGCCAAGACAGCATTTAGTTTCCATTTGCTTACTGTTCATTTTTGTTAATTTCTTTCGTCTTTTATTTGTAAATAGAGTTAACTGGTCACAATTATAATATTAGGATTATTAAAGCATAATGTTTCTACCCAATCATAGTCAGAGTATCAATAAATTAAAATAAAGTTTGGCATGGTGGTACACATCTGCAGTCCCAGCTATTTGGGAGGCTAAGACCAGAGGACGGCTGGAGGCCTCATACTAGATGTCAGTCTAGCAACATAGCAAGACCCCATCTTCAAAAATAAAAATCAAAAGGAATTAAGGTATATAGGCTAATAAAAAGAAAACAAGATCATCGGGGGTTAAGTCCTTTTTGATTTATTAGAGTGATCCTAAAAAACTTACTTATTTTGATTTAGTTTCCCCTTTTCTAACAGGCAAAAAGATCTTATTGTTATACTCCACAGAGTTAATAAATACAAACAGCATTGTAAAACTGGAAAGCAGGGATGAATTCATTGGGTTATTATGGAGTAATGACTTTGCTCGGGAGACAACTTTACACACAGTATGTTCTTACACACAGAACGTACACACAGTATCTGTTTCTTAAAGATTTTTCTTAAAGAATTTATATGTATGTGTGTGTTTGTGTGAATGTATGCAATTTGTGCACCAGTAGCTGCAGAAGGCATCAGATTCTCCAGAACCGTAGCTACAGGCAGTCGTGAAAGCCCAAAGTGGGTGATGGGATCTGAATGTGTCTTCTCCAAAAGCAGTACAGGCTCATACCCCCTGAGCTATCTCTCCAACTCTGGATATGCTTCTTTGCATTTAAATGCTTAATTTAAATAATGTAATTCAACAGACAATCAATCTCCTCTTTTCTTAGTAAATTAGCATAAATTAACATAACTAGGAAGTACATAGGAATAGTTATCATATCTTATGACCAAAAGTGACAACATATATATATGCTTTTAATATTTTGTTTTATTAACAAATGATATTTGTACTTCCAACTGAATATTACAAATAAGACTTATAAGGAGAAAAGTTATTTATTAAATTTCTAAATTAAATCTTAATCCTTTTTCCTTATTTAGCTCATTTGATGCTAGCACATTAATAGTAGACCATACTCTTCCACAGTAATAAAAAAATAAATTACTACTTTGCTCTTTCTACACTCATGATCTGAATGAGGCCTTAGATAAAACTGAATACAGTTTACAACATCAAGCAAACACAACAATCAAAGGAAAAATACTTGCAACAAACCATACCTAGTAATAAGAACTGCATTATCGTGGTGGGCAATCCCATTTTCTGGAATGGTGTTTCCATCACTTTGGTGGGAGAGAATGGATTTCTGCCACTTACAGAAGCTATCGAGGGACTTGTCTGCATGATGGTTTATCTCCAAGTTTGGCTGCAATACAACATGCATACCAGAAATGTTCCAAACAAATTACTAAGGTCAGTTGTCAAACTCTTGCAAACTAAAGTGGGACTATAATTAGAAGCAGTGGTTTCTAGGAATAATCTCCTGCCGATTTTTATCTCCACAACATCTGACCTAGGGTTCATTTAATTTACTACGGAATAGACTTTCATTCCAGTTCCAACTTCAACAATAAAGAAAGCATATATGAGATCATCAGCATACAAAAAGCAACCAAAACCATTATTATCAGGTAAGCCATACAAATAAAATGCTCATCTTTAATTCTGAAACATGTAGCAAGTATGCATTTATGGAGAGAAAGCTTTAATAAGAGATGAGATGTATATTATTACAAAGTATTTCAATACTTCATAAAAATTGAAGTTTAAAGCAAAAAAAAATTTAACTAGGACTTCCTAAGAGAAGTATAAAAGAAATATATCTGTTCATAATGATAATCCCATAGCCTAAAAGCTTTGATATAAAAAACATTCTTACCTGATCTTCTGTGAGAACAATTAAGCGAGCCACTATAATATTCACAACGTTTCCTAGACTGGAGTCACGGTAAAGTTTGGCAACCTGACCTCCAGAAAATAAGAAAAGACAAAAAGTCAGACAAAAAGAATGGGATGATATTTTGAATTTCTAAAAAGATAAGAAGCATTTTTAGGACTTTATGGTGTATACTAAAAGATATTCTTTTACCCTATACCACTTAGGACTCCACCTTCAAGACGCTTTGGTTAAAGGACTTTATGTAAGTCTACAACAAGAAGTATTTTCTCCTAGAGATGAACTGCATGCATCACAAAATCTATAATATGAGCTGATGTTTCAAGTTCCTTAAATACGATTTAACAACTCATTTTTAAACATTCACATTAAGTAAAAATGAACAATAAGACATTTTAAATTTTATTTTCCTTAAACTTAAAAGTTAATTGACCACCTGGGTATGGTGGTGCATGCCTTTAATCAGGCAGATCTCTGAGTTCAAGGCCAGCCTGGTTTACATGTGGTAAGTTTCAGATAGCCAAGGTTACATAGAGAGACCTTGTCTAAAAAAAAAAAAAAAAAAAATAAAAAAAAAAAAAAAAAAAAAAGTTGGTTGGTTGACAAATTCTTAGTCTCAGTGAGGGCAAGTTAGTATAATTCTATGGCAGAGAATGTATTTATTTTCTTTGTACAAGTTCTAGACTAAATCCCAACCAGTAATTAAAGTAATGATACAAATTCATTTTTTACCAATTTACACAAATGAAAGTTTATTATTATTTATCTCAGTAAAAATTCATTACTTTAGTATAAAACACAACAAACTACTTAGTAAGGCAGTCTATAGAGGGATCAAACTTACAATATTCATCACACTCAAAATATAATGTTCAATGTCTTTACGGCCATGGTAGCCCACCATCATTTTGTCAGCCACTACCAGGGTCTCCACAAATCTCTCAGTGCTCACAGATCTTCTCTGTCTGCCGTGAATATGTGTGTCGTTAATTGGTAGTAAAGAGGAAAAAGCAGAAGACGTCTTATTCAGCCACCAAGGCTTGCCATTTCTGGTGAGATCTGCAATCAAAAGAATTAAGTAATTCAGATCAATTCACTAACAAAATACACATATATCAATTTCATGTAGATAGGCTTCTCATAAACTCTCTAATGGATCAAGATATTCAAAATAAGAGAACAGAGTAAAGAACTGTATAAATAAGGAAAAGTTTCAAGTCTTCAAATTAGTTATCTAGAAAATTAATGTTAATATTCAACTGCTCATGAAAATGAGATCAATAAAGCTATGAAGTAAATTAATAGATTTTTAAACAAGTCATTTCCTATTATTCCAGTGGCTAATTATATATTGGAACATTTACTGTAATGAACCATTTAAGATTTATAATAAACTGGGGCCTAGCATATATATATATATATATATATATATATATATATATATATATATATATATATGTTTTTGTTTCTTTTTCGAGACAGGGTTTCTCTGTGTTCTTTTGGTGCCTGTCTTAGATCTTGCTCTGTAAACCAAGCTGGCCTCGAACTCAGAGATCTGCCTGGCTTTGCTCCCAAGTGCTGGGATTAAAGGTGTGCGCCACCACCGCCCAGCTGGGGCCTATATTTTAAAAATAGACTAAAACCACACTGACAGAGAACGATTCTGCTTTCAGGATCTACCCCAATGTGAAAAGCATCTGTGTTACAGGAAGATGCTCTTGTTAAATTGTCTTAACTAGAATCAATTCTGTTCTTCTCGGTTTTAAAAAAGCTACGAATTGGGCTTCCCACATAATTTTGCTGTCTACAACTATTTATGTTAGCAGAACACACAGAGCTTACTTTTCACAAGTCTAAAAGTGGAGTTGCTCAGTGGTTAAAGAGCATGTGATGCTTGACCAAGTTCAGATCCTCATAAACCACTTAAATCCAGGTGAGTGAGGCAAATCACCTGTGATTCCAGCCTCAGAAGGCAGAAACAGGGGATCTCAAGAGCAAGCTGGGTAGCAAGGCTAATCCTATAAGTGATTGGATTTAGAGACCCTGACTTGATAAATAGGTGGAAAAACAAAGAAGATGGTTTCCAACATCAACCTGGAGCCTCCTTAAGTACATGCATGTTACATGCACACGTGTATCCACACACAAGCAAAAAAAAAAAAAATGCTTACACACACACACCTGGAAAATGGAAACAAGAAAATAAAATAAAGGTAAGGGGTATTAACATGAGACCTGGAAGATACGTTAGCAACACTCTTTTTTGAGAATATCACTTCTACCTTTTCTGTCCTCCCTCCAAAACCTCCAACATACCCCTCCTTGATCCTTTCAAATTCATGGCCTCTTTTTTCATTAATTGCTGTTAGATGCATATGTGTGTATGCATATATATATATGCACATGTATATGTATGTATATATTCCTAAATATAACCTTCTCGGTCTGTATAATGTTACTTGTATGTACATTTTTGGGGCTGACCATTTGATATTGAATAACCAGTTGGTGTGCTGCTCTTTCCTGAAAAAGACCTTTTCTCCCCCTCTCAGCAATCTTTAGTTGCCTGTAGTTCTTTGTGTAGGGTTGAGGCCAAATGCCACCCAACACACCCCACCCACCATTCTCGTTGGCATGTCTATTGATGTCGTCATCCTTGTTCAGCTCATGGTTAGGTGATCATGTGCTGAGACTTTATGGATGTAGCTTCTGACATTACTAGAAGACAAAGTCAAAAACCCCTCCAGTCCTTTGCTCTTATCTGCTCCCTCTTCTGTCCCTTGGGCCTTAGGTGGACGATTGTTTTGTAGAAGTATCCCTGGACTAGGCTCCACAACATTGCATTTTGGTTGGTTATTTTAAAAAACAGTATATCCTTAATTTTTTTAAATCAAGTTTTTCAGTACTGAAGATAGTTTTTAGTTGTGTGCCATTTGTAAATACCATGTTATTTATGTTTTTCTTTATTATTAAATTTGAGTGGGTAGAGGACCTTAACTTATGTTTCTTTCATGCCTTTATGCAGAACTAAATATTTTTATCACCTCCAGTAGCTAAAATGTTTGATGAGGAAAAGTTTAATGAACATGTAATTGACAGAAAGTGGCACTATTTTAATTGTTCTTCCATTAGCTTTCGCCTTTTTAGAACCTTGCACTGGTGGGATGGAGAAATTTTACAAAGTAAGAAAAAATGGTCATAGTCATGAGAAAAAACAGTTAAATACTTTGGAAGTTCACATAAATTAAATATTTCTCTTTCTTTCTAAAGGTCAAGAGAGACAGAGACATAACAATTTTTTCAGTAGTCTACTCCAAAGCAGTTTTTGCTCATGTCCAGTTGTGGCAAATAAACCCATAGGTTACCACAATGACCCTGAAAGCCACAGATTACCACAATGACCCTGCCTTCAAAACTCCTTTGTCAGTACGGGTAGGACCACAACTTGGAATACAAGTGATTGCATACATACAAATATATGATTATGTTATACAATCGTATAGCATTTTCCACCTCTGACTCTTCCTTGGTGGCTTGGAGAAGGCAAGCAACCATGTTTTTTAACTCAAGGGAAGGAACTACAGGTTCCAACCAGCAGGCCAGTCAAAAACTAAAGCTATATACAACCACAAAGAACTGAATGCTGGGAAGAAACAAGGGAATGGGGAAGTAGATGATTCTTTAGTAAAGATGCCAAGGGAAAATCGAACTCTAGCTAAAGCTAAGCATATGATCCATCTATTCGGGCTTCCAACCCTCAAAAGCTGGAAGTAATAAATGAGTGTTTTTCAAGTGTTGTTCACAAAAAATATTTGTAATAAATATTGTTGTGATCATTGTCAACATGTTTTTCATATTAAAAAAAATCAGTTTCTCCTGTTCAGTCATCTATTACCACAAAATCATTAATTTATAAGTTATACCTATCATTCATTCCCCTGGCTAGACAGCCTACTGTCTAAATATAGAATTTAAGTTCCATTAATTTGGTCCATTATACTTCTCTGAGCCATTCAATTTCTATTTATTTTAACTTAAAGCATTGAAAGATTATTTAGACATATCTGAATCCTAAATAGTAATGTTGCTACTACCAGCACCATTCAGATTGTTATAATTTTCAAACTTTTAGCTTTTTAAATTGTTAGTTTGCTTGGTTGTCAGTATGCCAAACAATAAATTCTGCATCCTTCTATTTAAAAATGTCTGATAAAGACAGTATATAGCACATATAATTGTATATCCACTATATGTATGTACATGGAAAGAATATGTAATATTCTATTTTTTTAATTTAATTCAATGTAATAACTCATTAGAAGCTTTCTTCTACATTTTATACATTTTCAAATCATTTCCATAATGCTAAACAACAATTTGTAACTCATATACATCTAGTCAAGAATGGATTACTAGGTTGACTTGTTTTGTTTCAAAATAAATGTTAACAATTCTTTAAATGATTCTTACTATTTATTCTTTGCTCAATTAAATATCTTATACATTGTAGAATATTAAAGAAAATTTGCTCCATGAACATACATAACAATAACTTTTCTCCCTAAAACTAATAAATGGATCTCACTGCCATCTAAAACAATATTTTGGCCTTTTGATCATTACTTAATAAATGTCTGCATACATGTAGCCATTTATAATTGCTGTGGTGACCTGCTACACTTTTGTTTGTGGCATTTATTTGTTTATTTACCTGTTCAGTTCACTGTCTCTGTCCTTTGTTGAAAATAATCTCTATGAAACAGGACCTTTTGAGTTTTATAAATGCCATAGTCCTAGTAGCTAAAAGTGTTGCACATAGTGTAAATAAATATTTATTTAACAAATATATGACTAGATAATGGAAATACAGAGAAACAATAGTATCTATCAATGGGCTGAAAAGATACCCCACTATCCCTGGGTACAAGAATAACAGTGATTTATTTTTCATAATTTTTTTCTTTTTTTTTTTGATTCTCTAAAGTTTCTAATGTAGACAGAAATTGTTTATTTTTTTAAATAATTTATTTAAATTTATTTTACGTGCATTGGCATGAAAGTATCAGATCCCCTGGGACTGAAGTTAGAGATAGTTGTGAGCTGCCATGTGGGTGCTGGGAATTGAACCCGGGTCCTCTGGGAGAGCAGCCAGTGCTCTTAACCGCTGAGTCATCTCCCCAGCCCCCAAAAAATTGTTTCCATAAAAAGTTTTAAATTCATATTTTGAATAAAGTATAAATAATTTATAACTGAGTGAGTATGGCATAAATATGCCCAGACAGAACCAAAGCATTTTGTACTCTATATTCTGACATAAACTTTAGTTCTTCACAGAGCTGGCAATAAAGGTCTATAAATTCACGTCTCCCAACCTGGTCCTAGGGAAATTCCCAGGAATCTACAAGGATGACCCCAGCTTAGACTACAAGCAATAGTGGAGAGGGTGCCTGAGCTGGCCTACTACTACAAATAGTATGTGATTCCACTCCTCAACAAAACGTTTTAAGCCCATTCATATCCAAGACACATTTTAAGGATTTCTTAAACAACCTCCAAACTGACTTAAAACTATTACTGGGAAATACTTTTTAAGATGGTTCTAGACATTATAAATCTAACCACTCAAGTTTGTATGCATAGTTTTATTACTAATAATATTTTACTTTCCATAAAAAAGAGGCATAAGCAATACACAATGTTTCCCAAATGCTTGCACTCACCTGAAACCCCACAATGAGAATGATCATAGATATGTCGTTGCTGGAGTGTAGACTTTTTGTAAATAACATGAGGATGGCCATTTTCATAACTAAAATGTTTGGAATCCTCTGTGGTATTCTTTAGAGGTTCAATAAAATATTCTTCATCTTCTGTAGCAATAATACCATGCTAAAAGAAGGAGCAACAAAGGATTTACCTAGAAGGGTCATTTTAAATAAATATCTTTATTACCAAGATTAAAAGATAAATCAGTATCTCCCCAAAACAGAAATAAAAATACATGTTAATTTAAAAATTGTTTATTTTCTATATTGTGTAAATTTCTTAAGAAAGGCGATTAAACACCTGCACATGTTCTGCAGCATACTAAGTATGTCACATGCACATCTCCTCAAAGACTCTGAGTCCATAGAGACAGCTAGCTATACAACTGAGTTCCTTTCCAGATGGTGGCTCAGGTACAGCTTTGTTAGTATTAAGTTTTACCCAATACGAAAGGGCAGGGGGCTGCAAATCACCTGCAGGATCAGTCTCTGAATACCAGTCCAGTGGAATTCTCCTTTCCCTACTTCCCTACTGCCAACTGAATGGAAGGACTCCCAACTTTAGGGGCAGTAGAAGCCAAAAAAGAAGGCTGCTAGGTCCTTGAGCGGCCTCTTAGAAACCCGCCTGATGTAAACACTAACACAAGGGAGAAATGCGCTTCTTCAGTGGTAACCGTGGACATCTGAGGTTTGTGATCTCCTGATGAATATGTTTTTATTTAACATATGTTCCCTTTTGGATATGAAGTAACAGGCTCAGAAATCAAGAAATTGTCCAGTACTGTCTAGAGAGAGGAAGGAAACAGAACTTGCTGCGGTTCAAGACAAGCTCCTCTGTTTCCCACAGTTTTTCATCCCTTTGTGCAAACCTGTTTAATCGCCTCCTGTTCAGCTGCCCTAGCACTCCTTAAAGCTTCTTGGGCTTAAATGGAGTGGCATCTGAGCTAAATTAGAGATTATTATCAACATCATTTATTTTCAGTTAATTTAATTCCATAAATTTATTTATTTAATCTAGAAACTCATTTAATTTCAGTGAATTCACACTGTTGCAGCACAAATCTTGAAGTCAGTTAAGCTCAGTGCAATGTTCCTACGACATGTTTTAACTCTCAACTAAACTACTTGCTTTCTTTGAGAAAAGCATTATGTCTTCTATTTCTTTGTATCAGTTACAGCCCCAGAATGTGTCTCATATGAAGTAGGTTCAAATGGTTTGTTGGTGAAAAAGAAATAATATGGGGAAAGTTACCTGCATGAAAAATAAGAACTCCATGAAATAAATAAATAAGAACTCTACTCTTCTAATCCTGTTTTCCTAATTGTGGCATATGAAAAGATGGTTCTTTATCCAACTACCCTTCAACATCAGCTAAAATACAAACCCTCTGAACTTACTTCCTCAGCTGAGAAAAATGAAAGAATTGGTCTAAATTACTCATTTAAAACAGCACTCTGGGGAGCCCTAAGGGTTCCATGAAGTACCCTTGAGGGATTGTCCCAGACAACAAAGGGAGATCTAAATGACTTAGATTCCAGGGCTCAGAATCAGCTGTTTTTATTAATCAGTGTGCTAAGTGTCCAAATAATAGTTCATATGAGAAAAAGGTTTCCTTCTCTAAAAAAAAAAAAAATAGAAAACATCTGGTCCAAATAATCTCTAATGTCCCTTTGATCAAACTTCTATGATTCTATTTAGAAAAATCCACTTGAACTACTACATGCTTAGAAAAATAAGACATAATCAGATATGTTATAACTTACAGAGAAGGTTGTCATTCACCCACAACCTACGTGAAATGAGTTGAATAAAAAAAGAGGAACCCTTAGTAACTTCATGTTATTTTTATGATTGTTTATATCCTTATGGGTAACAATCCCTATATTAAATACAAACCCTGAGGAATAACTCAATACACTGTTAACAAACTCCAATATCTACATAAAAATGAGTTTACCAGGCAGTTTAATAAGTACTAGAAAACTGAACACAGTGTTTTAAAAACACAGGCAAGTTTTGTTAAGACTGATTAGAAGAAAGTGTAGGACAGCAATCCAGAGTTTGACCCACAAATGCTAGGACACTGACATCACACTGGTCTGTCATCAGTATTAAGTTGAAAGCCTCTAACAAAAAAACTCAGGTTATTGAGGGAAAACAGATTCAGAAGACTAATAAGTAAGAAAAAAGAAGAAACCCTGTAAGAATGAAAAGATTTTGAAATGGCATTTCAGAGGTTTTATGTAGTATGTATCCTATAAAATGTTTCTACGTGTCTCACTTAATCTTAATAGCTCTATGAAATAAACAATACGATCAGCTTTACTCTACAAATAAGCAAAGGCGGCAAAATTTAGCAGCAAACTCATTTGACTGACTTCAGAGTTTAGACACTTAATCACTATATTATAATCATCTCATCATCTAAGGGTTGTTTCTGATTGAGTGCCTATGGTAGTATGAAAACTACACTAGTTGGCAGAGGTGAAACAGTGAATCAAAGAAAGTCTGGGCTCTGTCATAATGATTACATTCTAGTGGGAAAGGTAGGACAAGGTAATTAATTAATTACATATATAAATGGTATATCAGATCATGATGTTAAGAAAGGGAGAAAAGGCAGTGGAAAAGGACAGAGAAGAATTATAAGAAGGTTATATTGCTGTGGGATGGTCTATATGTCAAATTGCTCTGATTGGTCAATAAATAAAACACTGATTGGCCAGTGGCCAGGCAGGAAGTAGGTGGGACAAGGAGAGAGAAGAATTCTGGGAAGCGGAAGGCTGAGGCAGAGGCAGAGAGACACTGCAAGCCGCCGCCATGATAAGCAGCATGTGAAAACTCCGGTAAGCCACAAGCCACGTGGCAAGGTATAGATTTATAGAAATGGATTAATTTAAGATATAAGAACAGTTAGCAAGAAGCCTGCCACGGCCATACAGTTTGTAAGCAGTATAAGTCTCTGTGTTTACTTGGTTGAGTCTGAGCGGCTGTGGGACTGGCGGGTGACAAAGATTTGTCCTGACTGTGGGCAAAGCAGGAAAACTCTAGCTACATTATATAAACTATTTAGAATATTTGGAAATATCCTCTATGATGTACTATTTGGACTGCAGAAATAACTCAGTTGGTAAAGTACTTGCCTCCTGCACATTAAGACCTGAGATGAAGCCCCAGAAACCATGAACATGCAGGTATGGTGTCCCACACTTGTAATATTACTCTCTAGAGGAATCCCTTTACGCCTGAGATGGATAAAGATAGATCACTGAAGCTTGTCTAACTTACTTTGCCCAAGTCAATGAGGGACTCTGTCTCAAAAATTAAAGTGTATGGTACCCAAGGAATAACACCTGAGGCTGACTACTGGTGTCCACATGCATGGAAACACACATGCACACCTACACACTCACATGAAATATATTGATATTTGAACAAAACCTGCATAAAGTAAGTGAGGAAGCGAAAAAAGGTGTATTGATAAAAAAGACCAAGCACAAAGAAAATGAGGTATTGTGGGATATTTGTTTACACTGTATGATGTGTCTATGTTTTACCTCACCTACCTAAGGCACCTGATTGGTTTAACAAAAAGCCAAACAGCCAATAGCTAGGGAGAAGGTTAGGTGGGACTTCCAAGCAGAGAGGAACTCAGAGGGTTAGATTCTAGGCACTCAAAAGACACCAGCAAGCCTGGAGCAACTCGGATGTACAGAATGGGAGAGAAGTAAAAGCCATGTGGCAGAACCTAGATTAATAGAAACAGGTTAATTTTTGTTTATAAGAGTTATTTGGGCCGGGCGGTGGTGGCGCACGCCTTTAATCCCAGCACTCGGGAGGCAGAGCCAGGCGAATCTCTGTGAGTTCGAGGCCAGCCTGGGCTACCAA